GCCTGCTGAAGCCGACTCATACTGACCGGGTGCAGGAGTGATGAATTGACGCCGTGTACTTTAATCGAGAACAACCATATTGTTTTCCAAGAGGTTATTAACCATCCAAAGGTTTGATTCAAAGGCAATCTGCTTTCAGGGTAGAAATAATCGTGCGCCTTCTAACTATGAGCGGTCATAATGACCGATTTCTAGTCATTTTCCTTGAACTCGAACCAGCCGGTCAGAAGGCCCTTACCAGATTGTGTTGCCCAAAATCAGTCTTGGTCTTGCACTTTGCATGACGAAGAGCAAGACCGTCCAACTGTTGTAAGTCCAAGACCAAGAATGTTAAAAAAATAGTTTTTTTGAATAAACATAAAGGCAAAATAGTTACTGATATTTGACAATTTTAGTTACTATATGTAAAGAATTAGTATATCCAATATATTTTTGCATTTAACTCTTCTAATTTTTCATTCGGGCTTAATTAGGTTTCTCCTCTCCAAAAAATGTCAGTAATATCTCCATAGTAATAAGGTGATAGGTAAATGAAAGACTGTTGCGAGACAGTTGCGCATTTGGGCAACACTAAATGGCCCAAAAGAGATCGGTTATGGCGTTATGGTTGCTATTGTCCGTAACAACTTGAGGTTGGGTTATACTCTCCACACTATCTCTACTCCCGTAAGCAATATCCGTCTGTAATAATAATAATAATAATAATAATAATAATAAGGCTTAGCGAACCCGAAGGTTCGATGCCGACACCACCAGTCGCTTGTTACACACCTCCCTCCACCGTTCGCCGTCCAAACCCAGTCCCTTCAGATCGGCTTTAATGCAATCTTCCCACCTTCGCTTCGGTCTACCCCTCGGACGCTTACCATTCGGCACAGCAAATATTAATCTTTTAGGAATTCTCTCGTTACTAAGCCCAACAACTTTACAAGCCCATTTGATTCGCCGCGATGAAATTACCTCAATTATATTACCCGGATACAGCTCACGCAATTCGGCGTTGTGTAACCGTCTGAACTCTCCGGTTAACTCATCCTTCTTCGGTCCGAATATTCTACGCAATACTTTATTTTCAAAAACCTTAAGACGCTGCTCATCCCTCAATGTAAGCGGCCAAGTTTCGCATCCATAAAGAACTGTAGGCAAGATAATTGTTTTATAGATTCTAATTTTTAAGTTTCGGGACAAGAGGCGCGAACTAAGTAGTTTTGTCACAGAAAAATAACAGGCATTGCCCGCCTTGAGTCTAACCTTAATCTCTTCTTCAATTTCGTTTTTTCTAGTTATTGTAGAACCTAGATACCTAAATTTCTCTAATATACAGGTGAAAAAAAACCTGCTAATCTTTCACCTAATCTTTTACCTAAACCTGCTAATCTTTTACCTAAATACCTAAATATCCGTCTGTAAGACCAATATTTACATCCAAAAATCTACATGAACTATAACGCCAACGAAAAAAAGAATCAAATATATAGAACCAGGAAAGCTGCTTACAGAAACTCTTTAATGAATATCTCGTGATATGAAGTCATGGAGATTAAGAAAGAAGAAAAACGATCAGAGAAGGCTCAATCAAACCACGAATGCCTCAATAATCTGTAAGATACTTTATCGATGGCTGACAACCAGATGGATAGATCGAATCAAGAAACATGCTGTAGAGCTGAATGAAAAATGCAGAAAAGTAATTTGACAAGATAGGCAAAGTGGATACAGCTGTTTGTAGCGGAAAATATATTCAAGATCTGTAAAGCCAACAGATAGATAAAATGGAAAAAACAACAGGAAAAAAAATCTTCAGTATGTATTCGGCTGACTACGTGATATGTTAATAGCAACCTTTAATTTTCCCCCCTATTTATTAGTGTTTTTTCATATTGCATGTATTTATGTATTTGTCCTTGTTTTTTGTTTTGAGCTGTCCTGAAGATACTTGAATTGGCGAAAGATTAGCAGGTTTTTTCACCTGTATATTAGAGATTCATTGCTTTATGATTTGGATTTTTTAATCATAACATAATCAGTTTATCTCTTTTCTAGCTACTTGCTTATTTTAATAATGTATATTGTTAAAGAAATTTTATCTCGCTCAATTGAAATTATAAAATTAGTATATTAATGAAAGTATTATGAATATGGTTGCTTTGAGTATACAATAATTGCTCATTGTTTTCCCTTGACTATTACCCTGAAAGAACATTCATTATCTGAGGATCTGTCAAAATAACAAATAAATTCATTGATATATGTGGTGAATACTAATTCTCTTTAAAAATGAATTATAACGACCTAGCATGCGCTTGAAAATTTTCCTCAATTACCGCTTTTTCTCTCCGTGCGGGAAATTGCTCCATGATTTTCCACAATGCGGCCCGCTAACACCACCAGAATATTCGATTAATTAATTCATTTTTTAAATCTTTAATTGACCAATAATAATAAATAACAGTATCCAAATCGAATAGTGGGATTGCATTAATGGCTTTATTAGAATAGAAGAAAAAATCGTAGCTGAGATTACAGAAAACTCCTCCGGTTTCTTCTCTATTATTTTCCTAACCATCCCTTACTTTACTTAGTTGAGCTTAACTAGTCACATTCAATATTCTGTTAAAAATCTCAGCCCGTGCGATGAATAGTATGAAATCGTATAGCAAACTAAATACGATTTTAACCTATTGCCACTACCCAGATTTTATCAGATTCATCTTTGGATTTTGGTAAACATAACGGTATTCCGAGCTAAGATGAATGTATTTTGTTATGGGAAGACAATACTTGTTTAGCTATGCATTATTTTCAACGTAATAGAGCAATAAGCAAAAAACAGAACTCCTTATATCGTTTGCAGAGTGGGGTCTCGCTTTTCTCTCACTGAAAAAAGGTTTCCACAAGACGAGTAGAGTTTATCTTGAAACATTTAATTGTTTCGAAAACAACAAATCTTTGAGCAATACTGTTATTTATATTCCAGATTTCTTAATCATTTCTATCAATCAACTCTTCTTCTTCAGGGAATTTTAACATCATCTGTTAACCCACACGTAAGCAATGCCCAATAAAATTTAAACAAATACTATACCTTTATACAACAAAATCTATAAGTACAGTGACTAAACAAAACACATAATTTGCACACAATAGAGACCATTGGTTGCGAGGATTTAGTCATCTTACAAACATTTGGTGCTTCCGGGAGTTAGATGCACGTTGCAACTGTAGCCTTCTCTTCGCTGTATAAATAGGGACAAATGTGGCAGCGTCCATCTCACCGAGCTGATTTTAAACGTGCAGACCTCAAGGGCGTGACAAATCAGTCTAAATCTATAGGTAATGGCTGTTCAAGGTCAGAAGGTGCACTTACTACCTATTTTTCTCTCCATTAGACAAACGGTCGATAATACATCCTATGCTCACAGTCTGTGAATTTTATCCAGTGCACAAACTGGTCTCACATGATAAATACCACTAGAGCCCTAAAGGAACATAGGGTCAGTGTTTAAAAGTAAGTTATTGTTTTTGTTGATTTTATTAATGCTTTATTGGTTTTCTTATTAAGTGTAAAACATTGAATAAACCACAAGCCTTTTTTTAAACTGAGCAAATACAATCTTTATTAAACTAACAACACAAATTCACAGAAAGAACAGGGTTATAACTGAACATGTGTTTTATGTATATCTTTTTTTATTAAATTTATATAATCGATATAACATATGATCGATTTGTAATTAATATTAATAAAATTACTTTTAACAGTTTTATCAACTGTTATACAACATGATAGATGCAGTGAACATTTACGCTGAACTTTTTTTTTTTATCTTCCTCCCCTTCCTCGCCGTTAAGCCTATACGGGTTTTCCCGGGCTAGGGGGTATGGGCGGGATTTAAAAGACTCCCTCGGCACTGGGACGCAAACTGGTGACTATTTTTATAACCATTTGATTCATATATCAGTTTGCCGGGCAACAATGATGCCCATTCGGCCACCCCGCCCACTATTTACGCTCAACTCTTGGTTTATATTAATTTCTTTCACTTCATGCATATGCATGCTAGATGCTGGTTTGGAGTGCCTGAGACTGACTTGATAAAGGACTCTAAATCTATTGTAAACTTATGAGAAATATTGTAAAAATTCTGACATCATTTAATTATATGGTGTTTATCCTCTTTGAACGGTTACCCAAACTATAAATTTATCTAAACAAAACAATGTTGAGAACTTCTCACAATAGAATGGAACGAAACATACATGACTCTGGGTATACCGAGTGTATTAATATGGCTCCAACTAGAACAATTCAAAATCCTTCATAGGCTTTTTCAAACGCAGCAGATTAAATAGGAGTGTTTAGGGTTGATTAACTTAAATTGATATTAATCCCCCCTCCCCCTTCATAGGGTGAAACTGAGGAATCGCAGGGGTAACGTTGTAGCGACGGTGGCGCCGACTGCACTAAAACAACAGGAGAAAATGGCCGACTGAAGTCAAGAAAGGACGACTTCTCTTCCCTCTTCTAGACTTTAGTTTTACACTTGTTCTACCATGGGAGGAAACACGGAAGACACTCCGAGACTTGCCGGACCCGTGGAGGTGAGAAGGAAGTGTGACTGCCGGCCGACCACCGTACCAATCAGCATCATCCATTACCTCAGACATCATGCAGCCTCAGCCAAGTAACAATAGTACAATACAAATTCGCTAACCATATTGTAAAACCCTTATATTCAAACTCCCACCGCAATGTAATATTCAATATCATTATATATTTTTCATTCATATAGTCCACTAAATTGTTTTACCAGCCCAATCACCTTTCTGTACCAGATCATATAAAAAATGATGGTATAGATCCCGATTCAAGGAGTATTATAAAACACCCCTTTACCTCGTGAACTTCTCATGAACTTCCAAAAAAAAAAAAAAAAAAAAAAAAAAAAATAGAATTGAAACATAATTAAAATAAAAAAATACAAAATAAATATACAAACCTGCTTCTGGTTGATGAGCCATGTGACGTCTGGGGTAGGCCGCGCAGGACCGGAAGTGCAGTTGACCTGGAGAGCCTCCCCGACGCGGTACTCAGGTTTGCCGAAGGAGATGTGAGGCCCCTCCAGCTGGTGCTCTGCAACACAGAGAAATTTCAAAACTTTGCTACAACGAGGTTTCTTTAAGGGCCAGTTGCACCGACACTTGTTAAGGTTAATTTTACTACTTTTGATTAGTTGAACACTGGTTAAAAGAATTTTCGTTGGAATAATTTCCATTAGCCTTAACACCGCGTTAAGTTAACACAACTAACTAATCCAACATTAGATCTCGATCAAATATTTAAAGGATGTTAAATTGTAACCTTACATACGGTTACTTCTAACAACAAACAAATATTTGCTTCTGAGAATACTAGCATACTGTTTTTGTTTTGTACGTTTTTCAAGACAACTTCAAATATGATTAAAGTTTATCACCAGATGAAGACTTATTAAATCTTATCAATCAGTTTTTCACTTTCATAAAAATTGCTCCCTCTTTCTCATTTATCATCGTCTTTATAAAAATTAACGAACGATCATCCGTTTTGGTTTCGGAATCTCAAGAAATACGCATATAATCCAGTATTACACAGAGTTGGAGTGGCTCTATCCATCCGATCGCCGTCTGTACTTCCTTGCTACCTCTCATTACCAAGCCATCAGAACTCAGCGACTATCCTATATTTTTCACAGCCTAAAACTCGAATATTCCATTCAATCCCGTCCCACTAGATCCCGTACTTCCGACCTCTATCCACCTCCTCACCGAACTGCTGCGTTTGACAAATCCTTTATAATTCAAGCCGTCTCCTTTTGAATACCATCCTTCCTGATATCCGACATGCACAATCAGTTCCCTCATTTAAATCTATATTTTTTGAGCATCTAATCCTTTTCCAATCCGATTTATCACGAAACGTAGATGAGAAAACTTTTGAAGTTCACCCAGAAATGATTCTGTTCACTTATGTTGTTTTATTTTCCATTGTTTGTTTTACATATATCAGTAAGCTTTCAGTGTTTTTTTTTTTAATCTGTTTTTCTCTTCTTCCATTTTTGATTATCTCTTCTTCCAATGAGATTTGTAAATATATAATTTAATGTATGATCTGAGGCATTTTTTCTGTAACTATAATTTGTCCTAAAGGGACAACAGTCCCAGTGTAATAAAAAAATATTTTCATTTCAATTTATTTCCATTTAATTTCATAATCAATCAAATAACCTAACAATTTCGTTAATTGCAAAAATAAAAGTTTGCACACAAGTGGATTGGAGGTTTCATAATATAACCCAATAGTCCGTGGTGCACACCCTTTTTTATCAAAGTATTAACACCCGTCTGAAACTTCGTAAATAGCTTCACCTCGTTGTAACCTACAAATATATTATTTACAGAAAATTCTCAGAATCGGGGCGTTTTCAAACCGGAGATCGAGATACTTTTGTCTATTTAATCAAGTACTAAAAACTCATGAATGCCCATTTTCTTTCTATAAAAATCGTAAGTTATGATTACAAAATAGAAAAACAAAATGTGGCCAAAAGAACTATTGGTGCGTTTGGCTTATATGACCTCGTTATTTTAACTTTTTTGATTTTGAGGTCAAGCCAAACGGATTTATATTTTTGTAGGCCTCCTTTTTTTCGACTTTATGATCATATTATCTTACAATTCAAGTAAAATAGAAATGGTTATTCATGAGTTTTTAGTACCTAATTAAATATCCTATGTTTGCTGATCTCCAGATTTAAAACGGCACAATTACGAGAATTTTCGTAAATAAAATGTATCTATTTACGAAGTTTCAGGCTATGTTAATAATTTGATAAAAAGAGATCTCTACCACGGACTAATTGTTCTTTTACAATCGGCGGTTCATGTTATACGTCGTAAATAAGATGACGACACACGTTAACACCTTGCTAGCTCGGTTTAAAAATTATCTTGAGCAATTTAACGTAAATTCTAAATTGGTTAATTGTTTATGTGAGTTACTTATCAGAGAATGTTAACTTTAAACACGACTGTTCTAAGTGATGACAGTACAATAGTTATTTTTATTGTCCAAAGTTAATGAAATTCGCTAAGAGTTCTTCAAAATGTTATACATAGATGTGATTATGTTTAAAACTTTGTAGCGTTGAGCAAGGTTTTATTTTATACTATATAGTAATAACACTTGCCTCAATGGCATACAATAAACATTCCTATGGACTGCCACAAGTATGCTCTAGGATTCGACTACTTTTTTACTATTGAGGATTTAGTAACAGCAAAAGTATTTTACCGTATAACGTTATACAAAGTCGTTTTATAATGGAGATCCCGTAAAAAAGAAAAACACCTAATGAACAGTCAATAGCAGTCATTACAAAATGGCCTCCGGCCCTTTAATAATTGGCAAGCAAGTCCTGAAAACAAATTTTATGAAAATGTTCTCGTCTGAAGAGCCCCTTAACTCCATAATGGAGTTTAAGAGAATATTTAATGATTATCAATCCCTATATTTTAAATCTATAAGCGACATGGAGAAAGAATTCTATTAAAATAACGATAAGGCTAAAGACAAAATTATTAACCACTTGATCGATGAATCTAAACGAATATTAACTATAGGGCGTCGTTTAGACATATTTTTTATGCTTATTATAGAAAATTGATGACGACCAAAGTACAATTTGATTTAGGTTAAATAAAATTATTTTTCTCTTAAATTTTTTAATGAGTATATCGCTACTGTTAGTGCAAAAGGTCGTATGTAAAACTTTTACATGTTTATTCTCTTTGTCCTAAAGGTGAAATGTTGTAGTTTGTAACTACTATGAGTAGTCTAATAAATAGGAAAATAACAGGCAAATAAAATATACTAATTATAGAAATTATACTAACAAATCATAAAAAAATAATCGGATTTTCAGTAAAATAGGTCAATTTTTGTACACAACTTTTTGCACTAAGGATAGTGATATGTAACGTCTGATTTTTTTTTTAATTCTGACTTTTTTCAAATGAATTAAAAATAAAAAGGATATTTTCACTTTTAGAAATAGCATATTGAAGCCATGATAAACTTTTAAATATATCTTATGTATTTGACAAAATTGTGTATGAGTCTGAAGGAATTCTATTTGTTTTTGCAATACTTTTATTACGTTCTACATGTTCGCGTTATGTGGGAACGATCTGTATCTTACATATAGTGGAGTAAGCTTTCATAGACGAAGGTAAGCAAGATATGAAATAAAATCGCATGACGCTTTCTCACATATAATTTAATAGTAATATTTGTAGACCGTTAGAAAGTTTATGACGCAATGAAAAGAGGGTGGAAAAACCTTTAAAAAAAAGATCTTTAAAAACAAAAATGAAGAATTATGAAGGGCAGGTAATATGTGACAGTGAATTACGTAAGGGTATGTAATATATATATTTTGTTTAATAATTTACTCTATTCCGAGTCGACAGAAATTATTTTCTTTTTGCTGATACTCGGTAACTGTTGGAAGTTACAATAACTGATAAATTAATCAATACATTTGTAGAAGTAAACTGAATTCCTGTTCTTCAGTAAGAAAAAACAAATGTTTGCACATCTATGGACGGCGCACTGAGATATTCGATTATTGGCTAAGTCGGATACACCATATTAGATATTTGAGAGACAGTTGTACAAAGAGAATAGAAATTCGATGGGGATACTCTAATAAAACATATAGTCCGTTATAAGATGCAAAATCGACTAAGGAGCTCAAATATGTCGTACAGCTAGCAAAACGTGTTGGAATGTTAGATTATCTTCAAAACTCGTTCCTTATAAAAATCAAAGCAGTCAGGAGAACCACAATTCTACTTGAGGAGAGAATATGCAATACTAAAATCTGTGTTTATTTTGAAGATGTCCTCCTATTATCCCCCAAAGTCCCATTTCTTTGCCAATGAATCTGAAAGCCGCAGACTAAATAATACAGAAGGTAGAGCATTCAGAGAAGCAAATTAATAAGCATCAGGGTAAGGACGTACATGACCATTAATAAACTGATCCAAAATCTAAAGTAAGATGTTAAAAAAAAAACAAATTACCGTTGATGTGCCATTTCCAAAACATACATAAGGAAATTAAAATTTAATTTTTAAGACTGTTAGAATGTTATAAGGGTTTTATTTTAATATACACAGATGACTTCGAAATGAAAGATATTTAAGATGTTTAAAGATAAGATGTTTCTCAGTAAATATTGAGCAGAACCATTTAATGTTTAACCTCTCAGGAAAGTAGAGCTCCATTATTAAGGGGAGAAGTAACAGCGATCTTGAAAGCTCCTTATTGGATGTCTTTGTGGATAGTGGATTGTATGGTGGGTAGTCTTTGTATCAGACTTGCGGAGCATTTTAACCAATGCAATTAGCAAAATATAGCCAAGGAATTATGGAAAATACTTACCATGTATTATAAGTTAAAAGAATAATAAAGTTGTCACTCAACAATCCGAAGGCCGTACCGAATCCAAGAGATTCGTTGAGTGGTCTATTTGATGTATTTTTACACCACTTGGGAAAGGAGGACCCTCGTCCTCTGAGATTAAGAGGAGGATGTATTCTCCTAGTTCTTGGAGTCTTACAATCCAGTAATGGAGTGACCTGTGTATGTGGAATCCTGAATAAGTGGAATTTTTTCATGGAAAAGGGATGCAACGGCAACTAATATACCTGAAATCAAAGCCTATATTGGGCTGTTATATATTGCAGGAATTCATTAAGCCGGAAAACAAATCTGGATGATTTATGGGACTCAAGTGGCATAGTTGATTCCAAGCTTGGAACCGAAATATTTTGTTACATTATGAGTGTCCGAAGGTTTATATTTTTTCAGTTGGAGCAGACGTGACTATCGATGAGAAATCGGAGGACTTTTGAGGCTGGTATTCATATTGTGATGATGTTTGTATTAATTATTTTTGTATTAAATTTAATCCAATATATTCAATATATATTTCTAGTATTCAGTGATTTTGGTATTCGTATTTTATAATATACATACTTTGGTGTTCAAGTTCCTAATTTGGTCAACGTATTTATGGTTTTGATTGT